GCCACAAATTTCAAAAAGACATTTGGTTTGGTTCCCACCTGGAACTGCTTTCCACTGAGTAGCAAATCAGCCGTTCAGCCCGGCTGTGGTCAAGTGCCAAGGAACTATTTCATTAAAGCCCTTTTTTTGAGAAACCTGGTTTTCACAATCAGGAAAGAGCAGCAGAAAATACTGTGTCGCTGGTGGATGGCAGTGAAGCAATTGCATTTATTCTTCATTACCTACTATCGCTCTTTAGCTGCAAAACTTGCATCTAAGACATCTATATTTATAAAGCAGATGATGATATCGGGGTAGCCGGGTGCCATCCTGCACCTTCGACTGGATCAAGTGTTCGCTGGCTGCGTCCTCTAGCTGCGCCGGTGAGGAGGCAGGGCTCGGTGTACAGCAGTGGCGCGGGACAGCACGGCTCCTGCAAACGGGTGGCAAGTTATCCAGCCCCCGTGTTGGTGGGCATCCCGGAGGAGGTGGCCTCCATCTATGGTGCTCCAGAAAGAGGTGTAAAAGCGCTGGGTGATTAATTTGGCCCTAAAGAGAAAGACAACCATTGCCAATGGGGGAATGCTCCGAATTAGCACTCATACCTGTATCTTCACTGCGTGACTCTTCTCACTAACACATGAATTGTGGGTACCATGCACATACCTCCAGCTTGCTGCCAGCTTCCCCACCGTGGGATTCCCAGGAGCCCCTTGAGGGGATGGGCTCTGCCTGGTCTCTTATGAGAGGAGGAAAAAGAAGTCGGGGTGGGGTGTTAATACATGTATAACCAGCTGGGGGGTGCTGGTTTTAATTGGGACTACTGGTAAAAGCAGGGGGTTTTATCATCATTATTACTGCAGCAGGGCAGCTTTGGGGAAAATGCAATTCAGTGCTTGCTCCCTGGTAGCAAGGCCAATCTATAAAGTTGCTCCTGTCCTAAAGCAGAGTGTGGGAATCTGGTGCTAACTAAATCAACTAAGCAAATCCCCACAACAGGCAGAAATAAGGCCTTTTGTCCTGGGTGTCCACTTGACAGATTTCAGAGCCTCTGAAGTGATGCATTGGCTATTTCCTTGGCTTTACCAATTTGATAAAAAGGTCAAAAATGAGAAAAAGTGTATAGATTAAACCTTGAAAGTAAATTATAAATCCTGCACCTCTCCTGCGCAGTGCTGCTGGTGCCAAACTCCCCCACGCAATAAATGCAGCCAGCACACAGATGTAACTGAAGCGATGCTCTCTGAAGACCTGCGGCAGTCCCTGGGAGGGCAGCATTTCTATACAAGCCCTTCCCCAACTAATGCAATTCTCCCGTCCTCACTAGAGTGCAGGGACAGACAGTACCAAACATGCCCAGAAAAGCCAGCAAAACCCTGGCTGTGCTGTTCCTACCACTTTTGTTCCCAGGGGACCTTTTGTACAGGTGCTGGGTTTCTGGGATGGGATATCTGCTACCAGTCTGACACTCGATGCTACAGGAGATAGGACTTTTGGCAGTTTAATGCCCAGTGAAAATGGCAGCTTGTTTAACTCTTCCCCAGACTGAAACTTTCTGCACTGCCTGTCTGATAAATGTTTAAATCCATTTTCACAGGCACCAGAACAAGTTGTTCTTAAGCCACATTTGGCTGCTCCTGTTTCAGAGCTTCTGCACCCAAAGGCTTCGCTTAGTTTCTTTTCAACACCTCTACCAGGTGGCCTAGCAAAACCTGTCTGCTGAGGCTCCCACGCATCCATCCTGAGACCACAGCACAACTAACTCAATGCTCAGGCAGTGTTTGGAGTTTGCACTTGATCCAGCCGTTCTGTTTTGGTAAATGTGAGGGGTAACCATTGCTTTTGGTCATGGTGTTTGCTCCAGCTGAGCTAGCAAGGTTTTGGGGGGCTTAATGACTAGTTATAAACATCCAAAAAAGTTCCCACCAATCACAGCAGCGGCTTGTGAAGGTGTTTTCCAGCTGCGCTACTGATTCCCTGTTTGCTCCTGGTTAGGATCCTATTTAGCCCTTATTTTCCCAGGTGGGAAATGAAGGAGCAGAGCTTCTCTGTCACAGTAAGTGCTGAAGCTCAATTCTGTAATATCCATACAGTCTGCAAGCCACAGAGCTGCAGATGCTACAGCACAGGTCACTGGGCAGCTACCCTCTTAACCGGTTCTTTGGGTAGAAATGGTCAAAGAGGTGAAACTGTTGAACATCATGAGCAGAAATCCTTTCAGTGATTGTGGTGGCAACGCTAATCTTGAGGAGCTCATCCCTTAATGCAGATGGCTCTTGGGGTTCATCTTTACACTACTGACCTACTAGGAGTTGATTTTTTTCAAAGTGCTGCTGTCTTGCAAGCCTCTCCTTGGCAAAGCAAGGTAACCACGCCTCACTGCGGCGCAGCGTCGTGGCAGGATAACTGCGCTGCTTTTCCTCTCGAGGACTTCCAGCCCTGGGTTAACACGCACCAACTCATGCCTCTCTTCCAAAGAAACTTGCTTCACTGCTGCCTGTGTTGTGTGGCTTGTGTCTCTCTAAAAGTTGGTGTTTTTTCACTATCTTCCTCTAAAATTAAAAATGAGCCGCTTTCCTGCCTGCACAATGCTATGGATCTTTGCTTTGTGTGGGGCAGCCCAAAAAGTTGAGCTCAGCACCCCCATTTGGATACAGGGTAGCTGCTAAACACCTGTTTCTGGCTGGCCAGCATAGCGGTATGAGCCACCACTTAGGGTGTGAGGCAAGAGAAATGCAGTCTGAGTTATTCTTGTGGTTCTGCCACGAGTTTGCTTTGGAGTCTGGTAATTTAACCTTACTGTGTACTGCTGTTTATCAGCTGTCCAATAGGGGCAGTGATGTCTGTCTATCATCTACAGATGCAGGGGGTTACTGTTAATATTTGGCCAGGATCTGTGAACTATTGCTTTAACTTTAATCTGAAGGATCTTCCACAAATCCATTTCATGTTGATTAGTTTCCTCTTCTCTTGCTAACCATGTACCAAAGAGCCAGTTTAAACATATGTCTCCTATAGACCCCAACTCTTCAAGCAGCCCAAAGCTTTTCACAGCGCAGTCGTTGAAGGGTGGGGTGAAAAAAGCTTGTCACCAGTTCTGATGCCTGTGCTGGATAAACGTACGTGGCTTGGATGGGTCCTGTCCCACCACAAGTTACCTGGGACTGTGGATTGTGCTTTATCACAAGCCCTGGAGAAGGACTTCCACAGGCTGTGGGCTCACAGTGAAGTCTGGGTGTTGGGCTGGTCAGAAACTTTCCAGGAAGAAAAGTCCTGCATTAAAGCCATCAGGAGAGCACCTGGGCCTACGGGGAGGCTAAGCCATGCCTCCTGCTGGTGTAAACACTAAAGGAGCTTCCTACCCCACCAGCTCCATGGGGGGGTCACAGACAGGTGCCCTGCCCAGCGCAGGGCTCTCCTCCACCCTCAATGGGTGGCTGTCCTGCTCAGTGTACCCCTGTGATGCCTCTTGAAGGTTAAACACACAGCGCATGGAGAACAGCCGGGTGGTCTGCACTTACTGCCCGCAGGTGATCAGGCAAGGAGACAGGCGTGCTCAGGGGCACTTCCTGCTGTTTGACACTTCAGCTCTCTTTGCAACAGGAGGTATTTGCAACTGACGGGATCTGCTCTGCATGGAAAATAAAAACCTGCCTTAAAAGCAAACCGTCATGCTAGGAGAGGCAGGGAGCTTGTAGGGCAGCAGGGTTTGCTGCCATCCCCTTGCCCACCGGCTGCCTGTCTGAGGGAGCGATGGGCTGGAAGTGCGTATCAGCTCTGACATGCTTGGGTGGTTCCTGGTTTTGGCAGTGGGTTTGTGTGAAGCTCCTCTCTCTGGGACAACCATCCCTGGGTGAGAGCAGCAGCCCAGTTTTGCCACCTTTTGGCAGAGCTCCTCCTGCCACCTTTTTGGAGTGGAAAAGCAGGCCAGGTGCTGCCACCAGGTCCCCCATGGCTGAGCAACTCTCATGCTGCTGTAACACCAGCCGGCATCAGAGGGGTCACTCTGCCTGGATGCCAAATTTAGCTCTGTGCATTGTCTCTTCAAACCACAAACACACAGCCCTACCCTATTTGGCCATGGGCCTTCCAACCACAACTACTACCGAGCACCTGGTTAGCACCAGGTCATGATACTTGAGCTTTGGGCACTTACCCCAGGGAAGCGGAGCAGGGGATGCTGCTTCAGCCGGGAGCACGTGCTGCGCTGTAAGGGGATCCATTTCCAAAGCACGGAGACACTGCCAGCAAGTCCCTTTCAGGGGGGAGGGAAGGAAAGGTCTCTTTTTTTTGGGCTCCCCCAGTATTTACACTAGAAGCTTTCAGCAGCACGTGGCTGCACCCGCCAACCTAGAGGCAAGGTGCTGCAGGGCACTGCTCCCTTGCTCCAGTCTCCCCAGGGGCCAGTGGGACGTCTGGTCTTCGCATGGTGCCAGTGGATGGAAGCAGGGGACGGCCCCAGTCAGTTCAGCAGTACAATACGATTTACAGCAAGCACGTTTCTCAAGACATCTGCAACGACAGAGCTTGGCTGAGCACCATATATACACAGATAGCAGAGGAGGCTGGGCTGAGCCCTCCGCTACGGCGAAGCAGTCAAGGATGGACTCTCAGGGTGGGGAAAAAGTACCACGGGTTTGCTTTTACATACTGTACATATATCTATTAATAGCTCCTTGGCATTTGATGTTCACAGACGGTTTCCTTTAACGGTGAGCGTAAAAAGGAGGTAAAATGTCTTCAGCTACTTCCCCCGGGAGGAGAGAGAAAGCAGCATCTCCCGCTCCCCCAGCTCAGCTGCCTGCCCAGGTGCCACCTTCGCCAGGGGTGTCTCCTTCTCCTGGCACCCTCCTCCTCCTCATCGGACGCCCACCGTGTGCTGGCCGGGGCCAGTCCTAACCCACGCCGTGCTTGCCCCATCTCCGCTGCTCAGTGGGATCAGTGCAAGTCTCCGTCGGCTGCTCTGCACCTCCGCTCCGCTGGACGGGCAGATGAACCGGGTTCAAACAGAAGGAAACAAAACAAAAGGAAGAAGAAGAAAGACAAAGGGTAATGAAAAGGTCCATGGCCCACAGCTGCCAAAGGAAATCTCTCGCCGTGTTTCTCTGACCATACTTGTCCCAGCCACTACAGCTGCTGTGGGATCCCCTGTTCCTTGTAGCCTGTGAGGAGGGAGGGGAAGGGAACATGATTAGTGTTAATTCCTAACAAGGACCCTCGGCGAGGCTCAAGTGAGCCATGGGCCTGGTTTACCAGGAGTGGCAAACCATGTGGGAGAACAGGGGGGGCTGCCGTGTCCCCCCCTTGCAGCCAGGCTGCCCCAGGGCAGGCTCAGCCCAGCGAGCCACCCTGCCTTGCTTTAGCCAACACCTGCCCCGTGCAACCACCGTCCTGGGCACGGCGATGCGGCT